GATCTAGAGGGAAGAGCAATACCCCGGCCATGGAATGCGGCCAACCTGAAACTATATTATTTCTAAGCTTTTGCTTTCTTTTCTTGTGCAAAGGAATTTTTTGGCTTGCACTTCAGAATGTAATTCTTTTTGTCAATATATCGAAGTAATTTTGCTTTAGCACTTGGACTGTTGTTTTAGTGTAAATTCCGAGATGATTTACTCCGGTTGAAAGAGTTGGTGTTTTGTCCAACTTCGGATTCCCAACCGAGATGATTTACTCCAGTTGGAAGAGTTGGTGTTTCGTCTAACTTCAAATTCCCAACCGAGATGATTTACTCCGGTTGGAAGAGTTGGTGTTTCGTCCAACTTCGGATTCCTAACCGAGATGATTTACTCCGGTTGGAAGAGTTGGTGTTTCGTCTAACTTCGGATTCCCAACCGAGATGATTTACTCCGGTTGGAAGAGTTGGCGTTTTGTCCAACTTAGGATTCCCAATCGAGATGGCTTACTCCGGTTGGAAGAGTTAGTGTTTTGTCCAACTTAGGAATCCCAACCGAGATGATTTATGCCGGTTGGAAGAGTTGGTGATTTGTTCAACTGCTATTTCCAACCGAGATGATTTACTCCAGTTGGAAGAGTTGGTGATTTGTTCAACTTTGTTATTACCAACCGAGATGGTTATTTCAGTTTATGAAGTTGCTGTTTTGTTCTGCTTAAGTACTTCAACCGAGTTATGTATTCCAGTTGACGAGTTGTTTTGTTCAATCTATGATTTATACCGAGATGTTTTGCTGAAGATGGAATTGATGACAACCGTGCTAACACTTGGCAAAATTAGAGTTTTTCATTGATAGAAAATCAATACAAAAGGTGGGAACAGAGCCCGGTTACATCAGAAACGCAGAAAGCAAACATACAAAAAGAAAAGAAAACTAAACTAAGGGGGAGAGATTGGTAAACTCGTCCTCGGCGGCCTCAAGGTTGATGGTTGGACTTTTGTCTTGGGCACCGGGCTCGTCATGGCCAGGCTGCTCCTGCACCTCGGCATCCTCTGCCTCTGCATCTGTCTCGGCGTCTCCCTCTTCAAGCCCTTCCTCGGCCTCAGCTTGCAACCCGCTAAAGACGTTGTTTGCGTAAGGCACGAGGTAGACCGATAGGAAAACAGGAGGAGGATTGGCAAAAACGTCGGTGTCAGAGCCCTGGCCGAGATGCTCGCAGGCGGACTTCCAGCCAGCTTTGAAGTAAATGTCTTGTGTTGCAAAGACTTGTTTCTTATAGCTCTCCTCGGCTTCGTTGAAGCCGGTATTGTTAGCATCCCGGCAGTCTTTCTTCCGTGACTTTTTGAGCGCGTTTAGCTCGGTCTGGAGCTCATCCTGTTTTTTCACGGCCGCATCCAGCTGACCGAGCAGTCTGTTGTTGTTTGCATTAGCCATCTCAAGTGAAGACTTTGCTCGGCTTGGAGGCTCTGGACTTGGCTGGCTGTGTCATTGGCCTTTTGCTGAAGTCTATGGATGCGCTCCATTACTAGGTGTTGTTTCTGAATGGCCTACAAGAAGCAAAATTGATTAGAGAAGGAACCGGGCAAACACTTGTGAAAATTTTAGAGGCACATTGACTTACCCTAGCCATAGACTTCACTGATGATTTTATCAACCGAGTGTCAGGGACGTGGTCGCTGCCGACCACGTCGCTCGGTAGAAGAAGAGCTTTGGTAAGATCGAAGGCGAGCAAATGCTCTTTATTGCCCTTGATCGAAGCCGTGGCCGGGATGTCTTGACCCCGGTGCTTCAGCTGTGGACGCCAGGCTGGTACTGATACAGGAGTGTCAGATGGCTGCTCGGTAGTCAGCTCGGCGACAAGCTCGGCAGATGGGTCTGCGTGAGCTCTTTTACCAGTACGGCGAGGAGCAGGTTCTCGGTTGGACTGCCCGGTCGCTGGAGAGGCAAGAGCGACCACGGCGTCGCTGGATTGACCGGCGGCTGGCGAGCGGGTGACAACGCTCGGCATCTCGGCAGACGTGGCGGTGAGCAGGTTCTTGATTCTGCTTCGTTTGGCCATCTCGTGCTCCTCTGTCAAGCGAATGAGTGGAACGTTTGGCAGAGTTGGATTTGGTGGAGGTGTTGGAGCGCGGAGGAAGTCTGTAACTTTACTCCGGCGGGGAGCGGAGTATCTGTATGAGGGACTGTAGCCGAGCAATTGGTTGCAATCTCGGTCGCGGTAACGGAGCGCGGTCCTGATTACCTCTACGTTGGGGAAATGATAGTTGGCTTGCAAGGCTTGGATTGCTGCAAAAGAAACAAGAAAGAAAATGACTAAGTACAGAAACATGAAGAAAGTATATTAACCGAGCTAATTTGCGCGGCTTACATGTGCTGCCAAAGTTTTTGCTTATCATCCAGCCCGGTACATCGGCTGTCTCGTAATTGCCTAACACCCAGAAGAAATCATCGTCGTGAAGATCCTTGTCTGGTGTGCCGGTCACGATTTTCTCTATGCCCGGTCTAATCTTAAGATAATAGGCGTGGCCGTCGTTGGTGTGGCCTAGGGTGTATTGGTGCAGGATCTCGGCTAAACCTAGGCTTATGCCTAACCGGTTGTTTAGCTCGTGCACGCTGTTTATTATCCGGTAGATGTTGGTGGATACTTGGGTTGGTGCTAGCCCGGTTCGGCGCAGGAACTCGGTCATCAGGGGATTGACTGGGAAGCGGAGGCCTCCTTCTACTATTGACAGCACGGTGAAGGGGCATTGGTCTAGTCTGCCCCAGGGTGTTGTCTCCTCTTCAGCCAATTCGAGATGGACGTCGGCTAGGATGCCGTACTCCTCTCTGAACGCAGCTAGCGCGGCCGGAGTATCCACTAGGAAGCGGAATTTCCCCATTTGTGGCCGGACTAAGGTAGCTCGGCTGAGGTGTTTGGCACAGTGGCAATTGGTAGTTGCTCGGTCTTGAGAGCCTGAGGAATGGACAGTGGTCCCCTTGGACTCTGCAGGAAAAGGATGGCAAGTGTAAGTGTGAGCGCGGTCGCGCAAAATGAGCTTTTCTTTAGCTCGATCATGAAGAGTGCCAAACCACCTCGGTTTCCTAAGCTAACTAAGGAGCTCGGTCGCCCAAGCGAACCAGATGTTAGCCCGGTTGAGTGACCAATTCCTTTTGCTATCTCGGTTTTGCTGGGGTTCTGACAAACATGTTATTTGCTCGGTTACAAAGGTTTTTTGGATCAAATGAAGACCAGGAGCCCGGTCCGCCCCCGTTCTTCAGTGTTCTTCAGGAAAAATGAAGAACACCATAAGTGATGGAGGGTTTGGGATGGTTTTTGGTGCCCGAATCCTAAAAGCTGCGTTTCTCTCCCCTAATGTGTGAAATATCGAAGAAAATGACGATAAAAGGGGAGTTTGAGGACTTACCAAGTTAGGGCAGTGCGTTCTCCACCTTGGAGCTCGAGTTCAGGAATGGCAGAGGATGGGCAATAGCTCTGTGAAGCTTGATAAGCAAGAGAGGCAGTAAGAACGGAAGGAAGAGGGCAGGGGCATGTTTATAAAGGGTAAGAAACCGCCCAAATTCAAATTTGCAAAAACAGCTGGGTTAGCCGCTCGAGGGCGAATAAAAGGACGACACGTGTTCCCATTAATGCAGCGTCAGAGTTGAAGCGACAGGAAGGTTAGGCGAGACGACGACCGAGGAGCCAGCCGGGCTGGTCTTGAAGACAGGAATGAAAAACCGAGAAGTTGAACCGGGCAAGTTCTGAAGCCAGGAATAATAACCGGCCTGATCGCCATTCTGCAAACCGCGGACCGAGGACAAGATTATCCCGGTCAGTATAGGTAATCCCAGTCACGTTTCAGCGGACGGAATTAAGGGAGATTTATGATTTGGAATTGGGCCGAGGTAACGGCCGAGCGGGTTGAGAGCCTAATGGTGCATGGGGCCGAGATGACCGGCGATCTGCCCGGAGATGGGCTGCCAGGACTTGGGCCGGGCAGGAGTTGGGCCAAGTATGTGCCGCCCCAGACCGTAAAGAAGCTGTTCGGCAAGGCAGTGCTCGGTTGGACCGAGTTGCTCGATCAGGCGATGGTGGAGCCAGTCAAGCTGAGTGACCGGCGCCCGGAAAGGCGTGGTCAGCCGAGGTAATCGTTTGATCGGCAGGAAGGCCGACCACAGGAGGTGCCCCGGGCTAGGCTTTGCCGAGATGCCGCCTAGCCCGGTCCTTCTTGGGCTTAGCCAGTGAAGTGCTTGGGTATGAAGCACAGCACGACCGTGGATAGAGCAGCTCGGCTGCCGAGCTGCAGCTGAGAAGGCAGGCAGTTGAGATTAGGTGATGTTCAGCAAGGTTTACGCTGACAGATGGGATAGCGGAGCCACGTGTCAGGAGATGACTGGGAGTGGATATGGGGCGCAGAGAGTATATAAGCATGTCTGCACCCCCCATACGCGGGACGAACACTTTTGTAAGGAACTCCTGCACAAACTCTCTATCTACTCTCCCTAAGGTGTGTGCTAATTAGATCGTCGGAGGGGTTTTCCGGCCACACACCGCCGGGTAGCTCACCCTCATTGTATTTTTAGGTGATCGGACAGAAACGGAACTTGGAAGAAAGGAGTACGGACTTGCTAAAATATTTGCTCCCCGCACATGTACTTTATAATTATAGAAAAAATCACATAATTTCATACTTTTTGAGTCATAATTAAAAAAAATAAAAAATAAAAATCATAACTAAAATTTTAAAATAATATCATAATTAAAGAAAAAATTAATCATAATTAAAAATATATATATAATTAAAAGTGCATATAACGTGGTATTTTTTTAAGACATGATGTAACATTAATTTATGGAGTGTTTTAGAAAATTGATAAAAAATTAATTTTTTGACTTTTTGAGGTTTTTTTTTTTTTTTTTAAATTTGACTCTTTTAGTATTTTCTTTGTGACTCTTTCGAAAAAACTTGATAAAAAGCGCGCAAAAAAAAAAAAAAAAAAAAAAAAAAAACTGACATTTTACCAAGTTTACAAATTACTCCTATAAACTGAGTTATTTTATACAGGCGAGTGATAATCATCGCTGCCTAGTCACATGATTCTTCTTCTTCTGCTGCTACCATATTTGATAAGCTCACACAGAAGAGCAGAGGCAAACAGATCTTCTACTCCCAAAAAATAAAAAAATGAGTTCAACCCAAACCCATCTTTGTGATCATGACAATCACGCTGTTCCCATAGTTGACTTGTCTCTCCTGCACCAAACTGATCCCCACACAAAATCTCTACTCATCGATCAAATCCACCAAGCATGCCTACAAATGGGTTGCTTTCAGGTCATCTCTCTCTCTCTCTCTCTCTCTCTCTCTATGTATGTATGTGCACACATGTGCTTTTGTTTTTTAATTTGTGAAGTGGGTTTTAATGTTGATGTAGATTGTTAATCATGGGATAAGTGAATCGGTGATAGAAGGAGCTTTAGATGTGAATTCAGAGTTCTTTGATATGCCAATTGCAAACAAGGAAGAGCTCATGTCTGATGATATATACAAGCCGGTGCGATTCAGTACGGTTCAGGGCAACAGTCCAATTGAGGGCCAATTTTTTATAAACTTCCTTAAGCTATATGCTCATCCTCTTGAAGATTTTGTGGCATTATGGCCTAATAATCCTCCTCATTACAGGTATTAATTTGATTAATTAATTAAAAAAATTGGGAGTAACATTTTACCTCATTACAATTAGCTACCTTGATGTTTCTTCAAATTCTCAATTGATTCTTTGAGGTTCTGGAAGTAACACAATTGCATAACAAATGTTACTCCATTATTCAACCTTTCATTCCAATGGAGGCTGTTGGAAATGGTGGAAAAAATTCTGGGTAAAACCAGAATTTTTTCTCAAGTTTGGTCTATTTTTTAGGTGGGCCCCGAGTGTCGATTTACTCGGGTCAAAGTGGTAACGCGTTCTATGCCGCGTTGTGATTCACGTGGTATATTTGGTTGCTCAAAACCATTACCGAGTGAATGGGAAATTGAAGCCAAAGTGTGCTCCATAGAAATGGAATTTTGGTGGAAATTTCTTAAAGTTGTAAATTGGCTTGTCCCACATTGATTTGGTGGGAAGTTTTGAAAGGGTTTATAAGGCTTAGAGTGAGATACTTGGGGTGTGCCCCAAGGGGTACCCAAGTGTTTTAGAGGGAGAGGTTATGGGCAAAATGGGCTAGACCCATTGGACCCAAAAATCACCACGCGCGCCGTCGTCCGGTCAAGCAGGCTGGACTGGACTGGGCTTGGGTGTGTGGTTGGGTTGGGCTTCTAATCTTTTTGGGCAAAAAATATTTAAATTTAATTTTATTTTTTATTAAAATAAAATTCAGAATTTAAATTAAATTGGTTTGGATTTTTTGTTCATCCAAACAGGGCTCTTCCCGTTTTCAAACAGAATTAAACGGATTTGGATTTATTGCTCATCCAAACAGAGCCCTTCCCGTTTTCAAACAGAATTAAACTGATTTGGATTTATTGCTCATCCAAACAGAGTCCTTCCCGTTTTTCTATCTGTTTGAATTCAAAACCAACAGGTATCATACCTGTTCAATTCAAAACCAAGAGCCACATACCTGTTCAATTCAAAACCAAGAGCCACCTTCACATCTATAAATAGGATCACCCTCATTTGATGTTTTCCATTCAGAAATTTCGTATTTCACTTCTGCTAATTATATTCTTCATCTTGCTGCATTTTATTTCCGAAAGAAAGAGTATAAACACTTAGTGTGTTCGTAAGGCAAACAATTAGTAGTGCTGCTATTATTTGTGGTAAGATCATTTCATCCTGAGAGATAGACGTCCGAATTCTGAAAGCACCGTGGAGAGGACGAATCTTTCTTAAGGACACAGTGTTAAACACTGGACTTGATCAGAAAAATAATTCGAAAAAATTAAATCAAGTAAGTTATTTAATTTATTTTCAGTGTTGTGTTTTATTTATTTAAATCATATTTTAATTATAAATCATAAAAAGATTATAATATAATCATGTCAGAATAAATGGACAAATAAAAACACCCACCTCTTAGTGAAATATGTAGTTGATGCATATGCTTATTTATTTTTATTTTTTTTCCAGTGGTTGTTCATGATGATTGTTGTTGTTGAAGATTGTTGAAAATGATGATGGTGACAACCCGCCCGATTAAACAGATCATCATTTTGGTTTATTTCAAATCTTTTTTCTTTCTTTGTTAATATTAAATAGATAGGTGAAATAGGCTTGAACAGATAGGGAAAAATTATAACAAATAAATAAATAAATTGAATAAATAGAAAATAATTTTGAACATATAGATATAAAAATAGATAAAAAATATTAATTTTAACAAATAATTGAAAAGATTAAAAAATTAAATTGACAAACATTGAACAAATAAGAAAAAATTGAACAGATAGAAAAAAAAAATTTGAACAGATAAGAACATTTTTTGAACAGATAAAAAAAATTTAAACAAATAGTCAACGTCAATATATAAAAAAAGTCAACAAGGGTAAAATTTGAAAATAAGATGTCCTTCAAAACCAATAAAAGGATTTCTCACTAAATTATTTCACAAAAAGTG